TCCGCCAAGGAATGGAAGATTTGAGGCTCGAGGTAGCGGATTTGCGCCGGTCGAACGAGGATATGACCTCCGCCTTCAGAGACCTGAAGAGGAGTGTTGATGATATGGCCTCCCGTTTCCCTTATGGCCCGGGCGGGCCTACCTCGTGATCCCTTTCCCTTTCCCTTTAGTTACCTCCCTCTCCTTACTATTGTAAGTCCTTGATGTATAAACATTGAGGACAATGTTTGATTCTAGCTTGGGGGGGGGGGGTCTTACTTGTATTTAGGGATTTTGATTTTTTCTTTTGGTTTATATAAAAAAAAAGAAAAAAAAAAAGATTTACAGCTTTCCTAGACTAACCTTAACTTGTTTGCTAGTATGTCTTTCCTTTTTGCAGATTGGGAACATTCGAGACGCGGCATGAGTTTGAAGAACGATGCTATGGCCGTTAATTGGAGCTCCCGGGAAGCAAATTTGGTGAGATCTTTTCTTTTTTTTGTGTGCTTAGGATAGTTTAGTTTAGGAAGAAGTTGAATGGTTCGAGGATGTTTGATCGATTCTAAGGAACCTGGGATCGTTGATGTTGATATCATTCGATTACTTGTTTGTCGATTGGGATTTTATGTGATTTTTATGCCTCGTTATGTGCCTTTCAACTTTTTCAGTTGGCTTAGTTGTACATATGTTTGTGTTAGATAGAAAAAGCTTCTGCTATGAGGATGTGTGGTTTAGCTTATATGATATGCCTCGTAGTCTTTTCCTATGTTTTTGGATCATAATAAACTTGTCTAATTGCAAAATTTTGGAATATTGTTCATGTTGGATTCGAAATGTGAATGAATGTGTATGGAAAGTCTATTTCCACTTAAGCCAGTGATGAATAAACAGTTCGAGTCTATTGTTGATCAATGTAGACGAGTCTAGGCGAAGGGTAGAAATAGAACACTTTTGTCCTGTGAAACTCTATGCCTTTGGGCTGTGGTAAGATGGAGTCGCTTCCCGGTTGTGGATTTGACCCCCTTGATTGGTAGTTGCTTTATTTGTTAGATCCCGTGAGGTTTATTTGTTCTAGCCTTCATCATTCTTGTTGAGTGGCATATTTGGATCCTTGATTACGCATTTTTCGATCTTTGTGTTGACTAGTAGCTCCCGAGACCGACTTGACACTTTTACGGGAGGAAAAGGGCACCTTTTTCATTTTTCTTATTTTGTTCCTTTTGTTTTGTTACAAATTGATTTTCTTTTTACATCATCTTACTTTCTAACCATGTTGAGCTTTAATTCCATTCTTGTTTAACCATGTTACAAACCCGATGGCCAATGTTTTAACAACCCTTAGTTGTGAAGCGTTTACCTAGATAGGTTTGTTGAGCTTATTGTTTACTAATCAAGAAATAAAGTTTGATAGTTGGTTTGAGAAGGTGTGAAAGTGATCCTAATTGTAAATATGTAATGCGAAAGTCATTTTGCCATCAATAAAAAAAGAGAAAAAAAAGAATTTAAAAGGAAAAAAAAGAAGAAGAGAAAAGTCGTCCGAATTGTGAAAAAGGCAAGGACACATAAATAAAGTTTTGAAGTTTGAAAGAGGTCATTTGAGTGTGTATTATATGGATAATTTGGGACGTGTAAGAATGTGAATCAATGAGATTATGGAAAGTGAATTACATCTTTTGAACTATTGTTTTTGAGAATTGTGATTCTTGCGCTTCCTTTAGGAATTAACCCCACTTTTTAAATTGTTTTCACCTACCTTACCCATTGCCAATACATTACAACCCTTTAAGACCCTTAGACTTTATAGGTGTTCGGTTCTCAAACGATGGAGGGAGATACCTTTAAACCCTATGGAAAGATTATGCGTAATTGAGATGTCGGGATACCTTTGTTATTTCCTCAAAACATCACTTTTTCCGGTTCCTTCGAGGAATCACGAGGGGCCAATTAGGGTGGTGATTTGAAGCAAAAGGGGAGGACGTGGCCGGTTTGGTTGGGTTTAGAGGGAAGCATGATTTCTTTGTTCTCTATGCTTGGTTTAGGTCTTGTTCGCATTTGATCAACGATATCTTGGATTGTGTGTCTCGTTGCTTGTTTGAGTGAGTTTTCATTCCGTGCATGGTTGTTCTAAGTAGGATCCATTGATTTCATTCCGTGCTTAATTTGATTTGTTCGCAATGGCATAGTTTATTTGATCTTGTGTGTGTTTCCCTTGGTTTTTGCTCGAGGACTAGCAAAAGTGTAGCTTGGGGGGTTTTGACAAGCGCACTTTAGGGCGCACTTTAGAGCATATTTTAGGATGATTTTGGATGTATTTGGGGCCGTTTTGGCCGATTATTACCTTGTTATGCTTACGTTCCCCATATTACGTGCTTCACGGGTTTTCGATTTGTTTTTGATGTGTTTTCAGGTAATATCAACCGAGTTTAATCGGATCCCGAGCCCTTGATGCGTAACCGAGCTAGCCTTGACCGAAGTCCGAGGAGTTAAGGAAGTTCAAGTGTCGTGCATTGATTACATAGCACAGGCCGCACGGCCGTGTTACCATAGGCACACCCGTGCTGGCCTATAAGCAAGCAGCCCCAGGCAAGGCAGCACGGCCGTGCACGCCAATAGCACGGCCGTGTCAGTATCCACGCACCAGCACGGCTGTGCAGGCCATTAGCACGGCCGTGCCAGATGTTGCTCGTGCCCGTGTCAGCTTCAGTATGAGCCCCGTGCTAGAGCATATTCAGCACGGCCGTGTCAATTTTAGCACGGCCGTGCCAGGAAGATGCACGGCCGTGCCATATATAGCACGGCCGTGCCAAATTGAAGAAGAAATTCGGTTTACCTGCTGCCAAGCTAGCACGGCCGTGCCAAATACAGCACGGCCGTGCTGATCCAGGGTTAACTGCGCGCTTGACTTCTCTAAATTAGAAGACGTATATAAGGCCCGACTTTAAGAGGATTTGACGGACAGTTTTAGAGATAGTTTTTGAGAGCCTTTGTAGAGAGTTATTGGAGAACGTTCTTAGTATTAGAGATTCATTAGTTTTCTTAGAGATTATTCTAGCGATTTAAGTTTTCTTGGATTGATTTGAAGCAAGATTTTTGTGAAGATTCTTTGTTTTATTCATTGACGACGGATATCAAAGTTCTGAACTTTTCCATTGATTCGCATCAATACAATTGGTATTATTCATTCTTGTTTATTAATGAAGCTTTATTATTCCTTAATCAGAATTCATGTTTATATCTATTATGCTTTTGGAATTCATTATTGCTTTGATTATGAATATCTGTGAGTAGTCTCCTAGCTAGGGTTTCGGGATGAAATCCGGCCTAGGTAACCTATGTAATTGAGGATTGATTTTGATAAACGGATTGTGATTAAATTGATTATATGCGATTGCATGTTAATTCATTATAATAGGAGTAGCTAACCTAGAATCTTGAATTTGATTGCATGATATCCTTGATTTGAACAAGAGATTGTGAATTGAGTATTTCATTATTGAATGTGGTTTGATTATGTATCGAGTAATGTTAAGTGCATGAGAAATCCAAGCTTAGTATTGCCCGGTATCTTCCTATCACATGATATTGATCAGACATATAGTCTTTGCATATCCCGTTTGTCTCTGTGATTCCTTGTTGCGTAGTTACCGATGGTTTGGTGAATTCCCGTTCTCCCTAGTGTCTTAGTTTATTGATTTATTCCATCTTATTAGTAGTATTTTAGAACACCATTTTCCATTGATTTCGAACTAGCTTAGGTTTAAGATTGATTTGCAATTACTCTCGTTCCTCGTGGACCGAACCTTTATTTGCCATTGTACTTGGTTATAGGGTGTTCGTATAAGTATTGTTTGATTGAGAGTTAGATTGTAGCGACCGATTTAACCCTCGTCACCCAGCCATCGCAAGGCTAGGCCTTGCTAGCATGCTAGGCGCTGGCGCACAGCTAGCCTAGCAAGCATCGCAAGGCTAGGCCTTGCTAGCATGTTAGGCGCTGCAGCCTCGCACAGCATCGCACAGCACCACGCACCAGCCAGCAGCGTGCTGGGCCGTGCATGCGTGTGTGTGTGCCTCGCATAGCATCGTACAACACCACACACCAGCCAACAACGTGTTGTGCTGTGCGTGTGGGTGCGTGTGTTTCGCATAGCAGCGCCCAGCAAGCAGCTCGCAATGCCTCGCCTAGCAGCAGCGCCCAGCATTCGTTTCTCGCTAGCAGCACGCATGCACTGGCTGGCTGCGCATGCTAGCTGGCTGTGCGTGTGTGTGCTAGCTGGCTGGCCAGGCTGCCCAACCTTGGTGCTAGGCGCCAGCTGGCAGCCTTGGCAGCCAAGGCAGGCTGCCAGCCAGCCACTTGGATGGGGAAAGCCGGTTTGCTAGTGGGAACCAAGGGGTGTGAGCTTTGCCTTGGGGAGGAAGGCTATGGTCCCCCCCTTGGATATGGTCCTCACCTAATCTCTTATACTCCTTGTGCCACTTGTAACTTATTGATTGAATTGCAATTTTATTTTATTTCTAATTAAAATAAAATGGGAAAATTGCAAATCTCCCACATTGATTGAGAGTGGGAATTCAAGGTTCATTTCCCTATAAATACGAAGGTTTTGGGATTTGGGAAGAACACTTGAGTGGAACTAAAAAGGCATCTCCTTGGAAAAGTGAGAAAACCTTAAGTTCGTAAAACTCTAGTTTTTATTGGTCTGGTCCCGACTAACCTTCAAGACTTGGATCGTTCGGGTTGGGTTCGTGGGTACGAGCCGTCAGAGACCTTCGCATTTGCGGGGTTGGAATTTTCAAGTAAGAGCTCGAGATTCGAGTGAAGGACGCGCCAAGGGTAAGAATGTCTTTTCTTCTCTCTCTTAATTGTTGTTTAATTAGTGATTGCATGCTTAGTCGCTTTAATTAGTGTGTGGGTCTTGGGTGGGTTTCTTTTCCGCGTAGAGTCGGACTCTACGGAACCCAACAGCGGTATCGGAGCTGCGCTCACTTAAATACGGTTAGTGTATCGTTGTGTACTTTTGTACTTTAATATCACTAGTTGAAAAAAGGAAATCAACACCGCACTTTTGGCACCGGTTTTTGAAAACCGGTGGGAAAGAAATGGGCGGGAATGGGAATACAGACTTTTGGCACCGATTCCTATTAAACCGGTGGGGATTTATACTTTTTGCACCGGTTTAACCCGGTGCCAATTAAAAAAGAGAAAAAAAAGGAGGAGAAAGGGATTTGGCACCGGTTCAGTTCGAACCGGTGGGAAATCTATTGTAAAATACAAAAAAAAAAAACCCGGATATACTCTTTCTTTCTCTTGCTTTCATTTCCTCGATCTTTCCTCCTCTCTCATCTGATCTGCCTCTCTCTCTCTCCTCTATTGAAGCGTACTCGAATTTCCCTCTTCGTTCTGTTCTTCTCTTTCAATTCCCTCCCATTTTTGCATCTCCTATTCTTCCTCCCAGCTTTCCCTCTCTGTTTTCGCATCTCCCTCTCGTTTTCGCATCTTCTTCTGCACTCTATTGAAGCAGCTCGCTCTCTCTCCATTGAATTTGTTTACGCGCTTTCTCACTCCATTGAAGCAATACCTCCATTGAACCAGCTCTGGCCTCCATTGAACTCACTTCGAGGTAAGATTTTTCTTGTGGTTGTGCGAATTCATTGATTTTCTTTCGCAATCTAGGGTTTGTCGCTGATTTTCTGATCAATTTTAGTAATTTTAGGGTTGTGGTAATATAGGGTTTGTCATTAAAGCGCGCACGACTACACCTCCACCCTAACGGCCTCCTTGTCATGGCTACACCTCCACCGATTCTGAGCTTTCTCACCTCCATTGAACCAGCTTCGAGGTAAGATGATGGTTTTACCTTTAGTTTGCCTGATGAACCATGATAATCTCTAATAAAAAGGACTATAATGGACGGACTTGAATTTTCTTTACCTAAACTCCTTAAACTTGGTTGAAATGCTCTCTCTCCCCTGTAATTAGCAATTTAGCATTCCTTTTTGAGCAGCTTAAATGGCAAATAGCATGTTAACACTTGGATATTTATCTTGTAGTTGCAAGGCTGCAATTTAATTCTCACATTGCTGTAAATGGCAATCACTTAGCTCATTTAGCAATTCTTATTACCTCATTTAGCTTCCCCTTGGCTAATCCACATGTATTTTCAGACTAACCCTGGAGTACCTGTTGTATATGCTGGATTTGGTGCTCTGATGCTCACAACATGTATCAGCTATTTATCTCATGCATAGGTGATTTTCTAAGCTCTTGATTATCACTCTTCAAAGATTTGTTACGCAATTGCTACTTGGATATACTAGTTCATATATTGATAAATGCCCTTTTCACATATTTGGCTAGCTATCCGATTCAATTAGAGAAGTTTCTACTACTTGTAAAAGCATTGTTTCTTATCGGAAAAAAGGATGTAGTTGCACATGCCTTGATGTTCCTATTGCTTTCACCCGCTCTCTCATTTTGAGTTGAAATACTCAACAAAACTACTTCATACTTGGTAATCTCTTCAGCACTTTCATGAGCAGGAGTACCTACCTGTATACTGTATGTTCTGCAAATTGTATGAAATAATGAATTATGATAAGTAAGCAGATAATAGGAGATTCCTTCAAGAGATGACCTGATATGTAGTGAGTGTGAAGGCTGTGAGATTGGTTGAATGCCTGTTATGTCTCATGTATTATTAGTTCCATAACAAAGAAATAGTCATCAGAAATCTGGAAAGTTTCACTGCCTCTTGGTTTTTAATTAATGGTTTTTATGATTTCATGTATGTTGGTTTCATTTTCAAATATATCTCTGTTTGCAACTTACAAGATTTAGCTTTACTTGTCGTACCATCTCTACTTTCTATAGCAGAGCTTATATGAAATTATTATTTTTCTATGATTTTGTTACTGAAAAATATTCCTATTGAACGAATGTTGTCAAGTGCTTGCCTAATTATAGGCGTTACAAAGATCTGGAGGCCAATCTGGTGAGGCCAGAGGAACCAGAAGATGTTCCCATGGAGGACAGGAACCTTGTTGGGGATGGAAATTCTAATTCAAATGATTCTTCTAATGATAGTGCAGTGAGTGACTACTCTGAAAATTCTAATGATAGGACAGGGAGTGACTTCTTGGTACCGACATATGGGGTAGATTTGCAGGGACGGACGACTATGATGTTGATGAACAAATAATTATAATTTTTCAAAATAGTTATGTATTTTGGATTGGCTTAAAAGAGATAATACATTAAAGATTGATTTTGACAAGTATAGTGATAATAATTTTGTTCTGTTGCTGCATATTTACACAGATTAATCAATGAGCATTGGGAGCTGTTGTGGCGGGGGGTGCTCCTGAACTTTACTGAAATTTAGATGTTAATGCCTTGTTGCTAATGGCTAAAGAAGAAATTTCTCTATAGCTGATAGCTATTTAAGGATTAATTGCTAGACCTGTTCTTATACTGTAGTAAATTTTGCTGCTGTAGATGGTCAAGCCTATACTGAAGGCAACTACGTATCCTTTGTGTTTTACTTAGATGCAATATGAAATTATCCATTAGATCTTGTCAGCTCACATCCAGATTCCAGAGATTCACTCGTTTGTTCATTTTTCTTGTTTGGATCTGTTAGGTGAAATATGGGGCTATCATTTACCAAATTGTTTAGCCGGTTATTTGCCAAGAAGGAAATGCGAATCGTTATGGTGGGTCTCAATGCGGCTGGTAAAACTACAATTCTTTACAAGCTTAAGCTGGGAGAGATTGTCACCACCATTCCCACCATCGGTATGTCTCTAGATTTTTTAATTTCGAACTTTTTATGATTATATTGTGGATTCTGTTCATATTGAATTTTTTTCGGTATTGTGATGATTATGCAGTAGTACTATGCTCATAAAATACTTGACCTTCCATGACTAGCGTGTTTGCTTTTGGTCATTGTCTCCCCTTTATATTACTATATTCGATATGTTTAGACGCGGTAAATCAATTTAGAGATTTTCCCTGGTTTCCCTTTCATTCACTAGTGTATTCCTCGTGTTGAAATTGTGTCCAAATCACTGCAACCTTTTGACGTTTTTCCACTTTTTCGGAATTTTAAGTCCTCTATTACAAGCTTCACTGAATGACTTTGCCTGGTAAATGGTTTATGGAATGCTAAATAACCAGCACCACACTCATGTAACCATTTGCCTTCACAACACTACTCGTTATTGTTGACGTTTACTGTGTACAAGTTCTGTATTTTATTGTGATTCAGGATCATATCTTTTACATTTAAAATGTGTAGCTTTTCTAAATTTTGAGCAAGGAAATATTGCCCTTTATTTTTTGTAACCAAAGAGAAGTGACTTTTTATCCTTTGTTTGTCCTCCTTGTAACACTCGTAAAAAGAACTATCCTGGCATATCCGGTTTAGTTTTTTGGTATTGGTCTGATCTTATGTCTTGGACTTGTTGATGCTTTTTGCATATACTCGGCTGTGTATAATGTGTTTGGAACTTGTTCTTATGTGTTTACAAGATTTAATGTGGAGACTGTGGAATACAAGAACATCAGCTTTACCGTGTGGGATGTCGGAGGTCAAGACAAGGCAAGTCCTATCAACTTTATTTATCTGATATCATCATGTGTTGCTATTTTTTAAGTCTTATATTGAATTCTTAATTGCATGGAATAGACATACCTATAATTTACTTTTCCTTGAGGCCTAAATATTACCTTTTGAAGTTATGCTCAAATGGTATAGCAACCGTTCCTCAATGACATGATTGTTGACTCCATGTTTTTGCTTATGTGGTCAGATCATCTACATTAGTCGAGGGGAGAGATGGAACAGGATTAAATTTATTACCTTGTCATTTCTTGTTTAGTTATTTCCTAATTTACATTGGCTAGGATATGAGTACTGCCTGGGATAAAGTAGCAGTTTCACTGTTTTTGCTCTTCTTGCCTCTTATGAAAAAATGTAAATGTTTTTGGAACTGATCGCTTTGACTTTGGTGAAGTGGGAGTGTAAATTTGTCATTAAAAGCATCCTCACATTCTTTAGCAAACACATGGTTAGTATCTGATTGATTAATAACGGCTAATTTTTCACCTGAAAAACTATTGTCTGAACTTAGTAGCCTCTATCTGAATGTTGCTCTATCAAAGTGCGCCGATGTCAACTCAAACAGGTATCATTGGTAATATAGATGTAATGATGAACTCATAACAATGATGATCATTTTTCTAGTTGTTAGCCTATATATTGTACATTAGTGGATTTTATGATTATTGAATCGCATGGTTATGTAATTTTTGACAATATCAATGCTATAAATGTGCAGTTCAGTGAGTCAGACAAATATATCCTTGACCTAATATTTTAGGGCTAAGTGATATCACATTTTAAGTGATCAATTATGGTTCATAGCATCCATACTTCTATTAGGATATTATTCCCTTACCCTACTGGTGCTGATGAATGGAAGTCTAGAGTATTTCATTATTCTGTTGTCTTTGTTGCTCATTTAGTATATGCCTTGAGTTGCTGCTGGCTGCTGAGATTTATTTGTCGATTTCTCCAAGGAATATGGGTGAATCTTGCTAAGGATCAGCTATTTTGTCTTTAGGGCCCCAATGGAGCTGGTAAAACTACTGCTATCAATTGCTTGATTGGAATTTCACCAGTGATCAGTGGAGATGGTAACAGTTTGTTTGAGAATCTGTCCTTTCTGGTTTAAATTTTTGTTTTTCATGATGTACTAGTCAGCATTCAACTGAAATCTCAAGTATTTTTTTTTTTTTTAGTTTTGTAAAGTGTAATATTACAAATTATTGAAGAAAAAATATGTGTTTTATGTATATTATGATTATATATAAGTATTTGGTACAATTTAAGTGAAAAAAATGCAAAAAAAAAATATTATTTTATTTTATATTTTTTTGGGCATTTTTGGCACCGATTTTGGAAAAGAACCGGTGCTAAAAGTTTTTTTTTAAATTTTTTTGGGAACTTTTGTCACCGGTTCTAAGTCATAACTGGTGCCTATTGTATTGAAATAATAATAAAAAAAAAGCGCACCATATATGGGTAATTAGCACCGGTTAACCGGTGCCAAATCTTTAAATAGCCACCGATTTTGAACCGGTGCCAAATTTTCAGGGATTTGACATCCCTCAAATCTTCAACGGTTCAAAACCGGTGCCCAAAGGGGGGTTTGATTCGGTGCCAAAGACCTTTTTCGCGTAGTGTATTTAGATTAATCCTATTCGTAGTAGCTAGTAATTTTATTTTGGCGAAGATGTCTCAAGACAGCGTTTCTATGAAGACGAGCCAAGATGAAGACTCTTGAAGATTTGAAGATTTCAAGGGGTCATGCTAGTTGCCAAATGCATCTTATTTCATGTTTTTTATATATAATTGTTCTTCTATATGCGAATGATATGTTAGATGCATGTTTAGGTTTTCAAATGTTGTGTTGATTAATTGAGTTCACTTAAATCAACCAACATAGAAACCCTATGTCTCTAAAATATTGAGCTAAAATATGCCATTCCAAGAACAACACTTACCGAACTAATGCGCGTATGTGATGGGCTACGCCAAAGCGATGCATCACTACTTCCCTAGGAACGTAAGGTATACTAGGTATACAAGTTGCCTTGGTTAAGCTCAATGATATCAGTAAGGAGTCCTTAGATGTCGTGGCAATGGAGAGAAAATGTCAAGGAAGCATTAGATGCGACGTTTTATCGAACCAAGAGTAGCTTAGAGCTATTAGAAATTGGATTGCTTACCTAAAATATTAAGTGTTAACAAGCCAAAGCATGCTTAATCACTTTTTGATTTTTGTGATCTTGGAATCATTTTATTCTCGCATAAAAGGGACTAATGTTAATGCGTGGATAAAATGCTCAATAAGATTGAAAATTTGTATGAACGCTTTAAATTTCAAACTTATTGGTTCATGAGTGGTTTTTCATTTCAAATTCTTTCTCTTGTAGCAACATTTCTGCAAGTAACTCAAACAACAACTTAATGTGCCCGGAAATCCCTAACAAGTTGGCTTTTAGCCTTTACTTGGTCAACTTCAAGGAATGGGAGGAGAAACTCAGGAAAACTCTTCGGAATTGTTCCTTGGAGTACACTCTTGATACTCCCATTCCAAGCTTCTTCTCTAAGGGAATCATGAGCGATGAGGCTCATGATAAATGGTCTTCCGATTGCAAGAAAGTCACACATCTAATGGCTAATTCCATCCTGGAAGATTGGAAGGAAAAGCTCTCCTTCTATTTTCTGGACATTTTCCTCAAATCATTAGAGGATGTTGTCAACGTAAGAGTCACCAAGAGTGACAATGGGAACTATGATGGACTCGTGTTTGATTTGACTAGGTCACTCTCAAACATGAAGATAAAGCCACCGGATGTGGGTTGTCTTGCTAAGGAAAGGCGTCGGCTTTGGTCAAGGGTCTACAATACCAAATTGAGACCCGGGATGCCCCTCCGACTTCATATTCTTGGAATGACTAGGCTCTTCAAACACACGCAGCTTCTCGGAATCTCATTGGAGGATGAGATCACGGGGCATATCTTGCTTGCTTCACTCCACTCGGGCTGTGATGCACTTAGAGTGCATATAGCTGCGGGAAAGGAGACACGCTCTTTAAAAGAGGTGGTGCAACTACTTAGCCGAGCCACCGCCTATGGAGTGACCGAGAGACCCTTGAGAGCAAGGAGGAGGGAGTTCAAGAACAAGGCAAGGATGCGGTGCTTCCATTGTGGTGGGCAAGGCCACTATAAGAGGGAATGCTAGCACTTCCGAAAGGAGGAGGAGGAGAGGAATGTGGCATCTGCCTCAGGTATCTTCATTAACACTTGTGTTTAAAGCTATTCATTGGTATTGGATACCATGTATAACTCACTTTATGTTTCCTTTTCAGGTACCAAGTGAGAGGGCATCACAAGTAAGAGGGTATTGGATACCATGTGCATCAACAAGCGGACGACAAAGATAGTCTTTTGATCGTGCTTGTAGGCACATTTATTTTGTCTATGACTTGTAGTTAAAAAATTGTTGTTTCTTATGCTTTTAAACATACTTTTGATCTATGGTGTTGGACACTAAGTTATTTTGATCACAAAACTTAATCAATGGTTGCTTTGTTAAAAATGTCTTGTTTATACGTTCTATAAAATTGCATATGTTTAGACAAATTAATGATGCCGCCAAAAGGGCTAAGACCATCGAGTCGAATCAAACCTACTTGTGGCATTGTCGTCTTGGCCATATTAACGTCAAACGCATCAAAAAACTTCTTCAAGAAGGTGTTCTTGACTCATTCGACTTGGAGTCGTTTGAAAATTGCGAAGGATGTCTATTAGGCAAGATGATAAAGCAGTCATTCTCCAAGTTGGGAGAAAGGGCAACACTAGTAGAAAAATTGAAATAGGCACCCCCCTTTAGCATCGGTTCTTGAAAACCGGTGCCAAAAGAAATGGGCGGGATTGAAAATTTCAGAGTTAGCACCGGTTCTAAACTAAACCGGTGCCTCTAATTTAATTAGCACCGGTTCAAACCGGTGCCAACTTATACATTAACAAAAAATAAATAATTTGGCATAGAGTTAATTAGCACCGGTTTAAATCGGTGCCATATTTGAAAAAAAAAAACCGGGTTAGCTAGGTTAATTAACGTCTTTCTTCATCTTTTCATTTCGTTTTTCCCTCGAAATTTCCCTCTTCTCTTATCTTCTCCCAGCATACTCCATTGACGTTGGTGTCCATTGAAGCAGT